TTATATATACATTATAGGGATATAAAATATCACATAAATTTACATAAAATTTTCTACATATGTTTAATGTTTTTTGAGAGCTCTAGAAACACTAAAAATAGCTGTTGTTATTAACTACACATCATGAAAATGCTTCAAGAGCTCAAAAAATCAATTTTCTCACAAAGTCAAAGCACTTCTTCGTCTTTTAATGCTTATATATTCTAAATCTACATAAATTCTGAGATTTTCTCACAAAAGTGACTATCTGAGACGGGTTTACAGAGGTTAGTTCTGCATCTGCGATATCAGTCTGATGATCAGGTGATGAGATGTTCTAGTGTTTCCCCATTTTCTCCATAGAATCGGCATTCGCCGTTATTTCTTAGCTTCAATCTATTGAGGTGTTCATTGAGGAGACAGTGTCCTGTTAAAAACCGAATATACAGGGTGGTCCGAACTGTATTCCGAAAATTTCGGCAGCATATTCTGGAGATAAGAATAAGTAAAAAAGTTCGTTTAAATGTATGTCTTAAAATGCTTAGTACGGAGATACAGGGTGTAGAAGTTTCACTTTTATTTCGATTTTTTCCAAATAATTTCTGAAGTAACGTCAATATTTGGATAAAAATTGGTGTCTGGGAGGTTTTTGACATGAGAAATTTTATTTTGATGTCTTGTAGAGGGCTACTTGTAGAGGGCGCCACCTACATATTTTTTTTAACTTGAAGAGTAATAACTTTTCGTCCGTACCTGTATAAAACTACCGAGTAAAAAAATATATATTTACGACATTTTTTATGTAAGAAAGGTCCCTCTTGGTAAAAATCGCTACGAGTAGTGTTTCTCGAGGTATTTGGAATCGATACTACGAGCAACCGTTCTCAAGAAATTTAGAATAAAAATATTCAGTACCTGTCATCATTGACATAAATTAAACATGTTGACTAAATCATTATTAGACTGAAATAATAAATTTGAAATGTTTTTTTACCAAAAGTTCAACAGAAACTTCAAAAAAGTTCAGTTATCATCATTTTGTCACAGAAAAAATTATGATTAATTTAAAAAAATAAAAATTTCCCCAACTTATTATTTTAGTGAAATAACTATCTATTCAACGTGTTTATTTTTTGTCAATAATGACATGTATTGACTATTTTTATTCTAAATATCTTGAGAACGGTTGGTCGTAGCGATTTTTACCAAGAAACATTTTTTACGTATAAAGTTACGGAAATGTATATTTTTTCACTCAGTAGTTTTATACAGGTACGGACGAAAAGTTATTACTCTTTAAAACATATGTAGGTGGCGCCCCCTACAAATAGGGGACACCATCCACCCCTAAAAATCCCAGACACCAATTTTCATCCAATTATTGACGTTACTTCAGAAATCGAAATATAAATGAAACTTCTACACCCTGTATTTCCGAAATTAAGCCATTTTAGGACATACATTTATTCGAACTTTTTTGTTTATTTTTATCTGCAGAACATGCTGCCGAAGTTTCAGACAAAGCAGTATGGGGACACAAAGCGTCAGAGGTACCTCAAACGCGCTGTAAAAAAAATGTTGTCACTCAAAGTGATTTCTGGAGGCTGAAACTTTATAGTGACAACGCGCGTATAGACGGGTCTTTACTCAATATACAGGGTGGTCCGAACTGTATTCCGGAAACTTCGGCAGCATGTTCTGCAGATAAAAATAAACAAAAAAGTTCGAATAAATGTATGTCCTATAATGCTTAGTTTCAGAGATACAGGGCGTAGAAGTTTCATTTTTATTTCGATTTTTTCCAAATAATTTCTGAAGTAACGTCAATATTTGGATTAAAATTGGTGTCTGGGAGTTTTTTGACATGAAAAATTTGATTTTGATGTCAATATGGCTCCTACTAATATAGGGCGCCAACTACATGTGTTTTAACTGTTTTGAAGAGTAATAACTTTTTGTCCGTACCTGTATAAAACTACCAAGGGAAAAAATATACATCTCTGTGACTTTTTAGGTAAAAAATATCTCTTTGTAAAAATCGCTACGAGCAACCGTTCTCAAGATATTTAGAATGGAAATAGTCAATACATGTAATTATTGACGAAAAATAAGCATGTTGAGTAGATAGTTCTTTGACTGAAATGATAAATTTGGGAAGTTTTTATTTTTTTAAACTAATCATAACTTTTTCTGCAAAAAAATGATGATAAAACAGTTTCTGTTGAACTTTTGGCACAAAAACATTTCAAATTTATGATTTCAGTCAAATAGATATTCCAAATATCTCGAAAACCATTACTCGTAGCGATTTTTACCAAGAGATCTTTTTTACGTAAAAAACGTCGTAAATGTATATTTTTCTACTCAGTAGTTTCATACAGGTACGGACGAAAAGTTATTACTCTTCAAACTAATTAAAAAATATGTAGGTGGCGCCCTCTACTAGTAGGAGTCATATTGACATCAAAATCAAGTTTCTCATGTCGAAAAACTCCCAGACACCAATTTTTATCCAAATATTGATGGTACTTTAGAAATTATTTGGAAAAAAAACGAAATAAAAATGAAACTTCTACACCCTGTATCTCCGAAACTACATACATACATACATACAGCCGTTACTCGCTGACGAGTATTCGACACACATAAAGAAAATGGTCACGCAAGGCGTTTTCTTTCATGAGCTTTTCTGTGACTGAAAAGCCCGATACGTGATGTTATCTGCCTACCGCACTCCGGACATTCAAAAATCTCATTGCTTTGTTGCCTCTCTACTTTTTGGTTGCCGCTGTTAACTGAGTTTACAACCCTTCTCCATTGAGTTCTATTGTGAGCTGCTTTTTCCCACTCATTCTGCATGTTAATTCCCTTTAAATTTTCGTGGAAAATGTCCTTGTATCTTTTCAGTTGTCCACCCGGCCTCCTCTTACCGTCCACAAGCTCACCGTAAAGCAGAGATTTTGGTATGCGGTTTTCTTGCATTCTGCATACGTGACCAGCCCATCTTAAGCGGGATTTTGTGACCATGACTTCAATACTCTCGCAGTTAGATTTTTCAAGGACCGATACGTTTGAGACATGATGGAACCACCGGACTCTTAAGAGTTGTCTAAGGTGTCTCTGTTGCAACTTGTTCAATGCGTTCATGTGTCGGCGGTAAGGCACCCAGGTTTCGCTCCCATATATCATGGTGGGGATTATAATTGCTCGGTATACTGCAAGTTTTGTTTTTGTACTCAAGTCATGATTGTAGAAAACCCTGTCTTTTAATTTCCAGAATGCTCTTGAGGCGCTACTAATCCTGTGCTGAATTTCAGAGTCAATATTGGCCTTTTCCGAAATCAAACTGCCAAGGTAATTGAATTCCGCCACATATTCGAATAGTTCTTCTCCGATTTTTATAGCATTGTTGTGATCTTCCGGGGGAGTGCACATGATTTTAGTTTTGCCGATGTTCAGCTTAAGGCCCAAAGCCTCGTATGCCCAGGTATATGTGTTCAACATTTCTTGTAATTGTTGTACCGTGTTTGCAACTAGAGCGCAGTCGTCAGCGTATTGAAGTTCTGTGATAAATTTTGTACGTGTTTTTGCCCTGAGTCTTTTTATGTTGAACAGACCCCGTCATATCTGTATCTAATGCCCAATCCTCTCTCCTGCAGTTTGCTGTCCACTATAATGGAGAGCGCTGCCATGAATATGTTGAATAGGAGAGGCGCTAAGACACATCCCTGCCTAACTCCTGTATTTGTTAGGAATGGGTCGCTCAGTGATCCATGATGTGACACTCTTTGACTTGTTGTTGTTATGGAGGCTTTTACACACTGTAAGAAATTTGTTGGGTACACCGAACTTTTCCATAATTGCCCAAAGCGCATCTCTGTTCACAGAGTCGAAGGCTTTGTTAGATCGATGAATGCAACATAAAGTTTAGACTGCTGCTCTTTTACTTTTTCCTGTAGTTGACGGATGGAAAATATGGAATCGACGGTGCCGCGGTTGGTACGAAAACCCGTTTGCGATTCTGGAAGAATTTTTTCTATATGTGGGTGCAGGCGGTTTGACATTATTTTTGCAAGAATTTTTCCGCCGATAGCCAATAGCGAAATTCCCGGTAATTTCCGCAGTCTGATGCACTTCCTTTGTTCTTAAATATATTCACTATATTCGCATTGCGAAAATCCTGAGGTACCTCTCCGCTTTCCCATACGACATCAAAGAGAGCCTTAAGATGACCAATAAGTTCTTTACTTGCACACTTATAGATTTCCGCCGGAATATCGTCACAGCCAGCTGATTTGTTGTTTTTAAGCTGTTTTATGGAGGTCTTTATTTCATGTTCTGTTATTGGGATGTCTAATACATCGAGGCTGTTATACTGAGGTATTGTGTTTAATGCTTCCATATTGGGGTTGTTTTCTTGGTTAAGGATATGGCTGTAATGTTCTTTCCAGCGATTTCTAATTTGTTCTCCGAAACTAAGTATTTTAGGACATACATTTATACGAACTTTTTTACTTATTTTTATCTGCAGAATACGCTGCCGAAGTTTCCGGAATACAGTTCGTACCACCCTGTATACCGATAATCCGAAGGTTGTTCTTACTTAAATCAAATTATATGTATTGTGATAAAACGATATTTGAACAAAGAATAAATGTATATAATTGGAGAGATCTTCTGGAGGTAGTGAGTGAGATATTGTTGATAAATGAGTAGCAGCAAGAGGCGCAGCGTAGGGGACGGCGAGCAAAATAGCGCGTGATCGAAGCGCCGCTTATAAATAGGAAAATAGCCGCGACCGTGTCATTTATTTCCGCCGATAGTCGGTCGGGACTGGTTCCAGAGGGGCCCAGCACCTCCACGACCATCACATTCCGCGCTCGCATCCACATCCCAAAGTCTGGAGAAGAGGACGACATCCGAGAATTGTAGAGCTTGTGGCATAGAGCAGAGCGGAGCGGAGCACAGCGCGCGCACTCCTCCTATTGATCCTCTTGCATCTCTGGCATCCAGAGCGGACCGCTATAGAGGCCACACGTCGCGTCCGTAGCAGCGTGCGTGTGGCAGCGCGCGGTCCAGTGCAGAGGAGCGCAGCTCTCGCTCCAGTCATGGATGTTCCAGTAGCGGACACTGCCACGCTCGCCAGTTAGTTAGTGCTGGTCCTGCCGTGCTTAGTGAGTGAGGTGAGCGCTGGCATGGCGTACCCACCGCTCGAACCCGAACAAGCAGTCGCTTGAGATGGTGCGAAGAAAACACTTTTTGCGGCAGCTGCTCGCCGCAGCTCTACTTCTCATCGTCGTACCAGGTATAAAATTTTCAACTTTTGTCAACTTTGTCAAACTTTTTTTGAACTGCATCCTCCGCATTGTCACTTAAATTCGCACGAAAAACTCCGGAAACCAGTTGAGTTTTTATTGACAAACTCAAATTCATTCACTGTTTTGATCAGTTCAAGCGTGTTCGGCACATAAACAACCCTCTTTGAAATGGATCGATTTTTTATCTAACCAATTCTCACTTCTACGTTTTTTTTTCATTTTTACTTTAGCTTTTGTTTGTCTGTCAGAGACGCTTTTTTTGTGAAAGATAAATTTAGATACCAGTTGCTTGTTATCAAGATACAAACTCATTGGAAATTGAATTTTTTATTTGTTTCTATTGTTATAAATCGAATTGGAGTATTTTTTTGTATTTTATAAACCTTATTAAGTTAGTTTGTGACAGTTTCTTTCTTCTATTGCTTGTATCTTTTCTTCTGGATTGCAGTAAGAGTTGCAGTTTATAATATTATGAAAATTAACTCTGTTAAATCATCCTGCCTGTCTATTATACGGTTCTATTTGCCAGGAAAGAATTTAAAGAATGAATTCTCATCATTGCAACTGGTCTATTAAAATTGATTTCATGTCCTACTGCACTTTAGGAGCAGACATTTGCATTTTAGTTTTTTTTTATTTATACTAGGATACTAATCTTCTGTAATAAAACAAGAAATTAGGTACAATTCCTTTATCTTCCATGTCAATATACCAATTTAAACTGATTTCTGATTGGGAAGTGTTCGAATATTATCACATAACTACCTTCTATTAAAGCGATCGATTTTTCAACTAACGAATTCACAGTTAGACGGAATATTAAAGTGAAATTGACCAGTTGATTGTTTCTGTTAGAAAATGAACCTATCTGAATTGGTATCTCGATTTGAAGCCAACGAAAGATTTCATAATATCCAAAGCTTTTATAAAATTCCTTGCCTTTTTTGGTATATAAATTAAAAATTTAAATTAATATATTTTATATAATATTCAGAAGAACTCTTGTGAAAGATTTATTTGGTCACAAGAACAAGAACAAAAATTTAATTAAATAATTAACACACCTCAACCACAATGCATAATAATAAATTAATGAATTTACCCAACGTGCTAAAAGGTTCATGGTGTAAAATATTAATTTCCACAGGTGTGGAAATACTGATATTGGGCTTTTATCACTTGGCATTTACGTATAACCTTTATTTAATTGAATTTGCAATAATTGTGGACAAATATTTTATTGTGTGTAATTATTTAAATAAATTTAATTAAAAATATACTTATTATCTAAGTATAATTTTATTACTTATGTATTATGTTGTTTTCTTTTTGTTTAATGTTATTTGCGCAGATTAGTTTATATTCATTCTCGATTGGTTGGGGAGGAGTCTAAGGTGTGGCAATCACCAGCTGCGTGAGGCTACTGCGCAAAGCGCAGAATTTTATAATAATTTTGCGTCCTTCTTACCTTAACTATTATATCTTTACATTTTTTTAAGCCTCATATTTTTACGTGTCCTTTTGATCTTATTTCAAATGCAAAAAATATATATTTTACGAAAAAACTTCAGAATTCGACATATTCGAAGTAAATAACAGATATTTTCATAGAAAATATAGGGCCCTATGTCCGATAATAAAAACAATGTTTTCAAAGGTATAATCTTGCCTTTTCAAGTCGAAATACTTGCGTGTGTTTTTGCTTATTTTAAGAAGACGTTTTGAATTCCTTCTGTAGTTAAAGAAATTGTTTGGAGAAGTTCGTAAAAAGAACTTCCTTGAATTTACTATAAAAGTTTTTACTAAACATGAAGTTAATTAATTCAAGATGAAGTTAAATTAATAGAGAATTGACGCTTATTATGTATATTTTTTTAATGCTCAAAACCCTTCAGTGTCAGAGATTTAATATAATTTTTCGATTTATATTTAATGCTTCTCGAAACACTCCACATAAAATCACTTTTATTAACTATAAAATTATATATTCAATAAAGGAAATTAACTATAAATATATTTTATGTCGTTCTGAACTGTTCATTTAATTTTATTATTGAATCGGTATATTAAAAGAAATGGCGCATTTTGAATTTAATAAAAATAAAATCTTGCGGTACAAGCATCATTTTTACTTAACATAAACGGCTGTGTTTTGAATCAAAGCAATTATTATGGCTGTAAAATACCAAAGTTCTACTTGAAACGTCATAGAACTCGTCGAGTAAGCTAAAAACTGCATAAACGTTGTTTTTGAAGCTTCGTTTCGTACCTGAGTCGAAGCAATTAGTTTGGATGCAAAAAGGCTGCACATTTCTGACAGCAAACTTTCAGCCTGCGTTGTTTTCAGGCTATTTCAGGCCAATATTAAATTTGTTTGACGAAGTGTATCTAAAAGCTTTTTAAGTAATTATTTGGGGCGGTATTTCATTTTTAAAAGACCCGAAAAGTCTAAATGTACGGCAGTCAGTATATTTTTACCGACCTTTTACTTTGCTAGATTAATGGAGGTCTTCTTTTGCACTTTAATAGCTTTAATTAAGTTTTTGACGTGTATAAGGTTTGGTGCGCCGTATCTTTATAAATTATGCAGAAATAATTCATCAAACTGCATATTAATATAAGTTTTTGCATCCTTTATGCAACATTACGTCGATTAAATTTGTGCAGGCATTTTTTATTTAAATTAACACATTAAACTCGACAATGGCTTTAATTTTTGAAACGGGTTTTTTATTTCGATGCTGAAAATTTGTTCCTGCCTCGCCAAACAAAACGTCACATTTGCATTCATTACGTCCTCTGTTATGTTAAAACCTCTGGAAATATCATAGGGCTCTATGTAATGAGATATATTATTAGTTATCCTTGGCGAATATTATTATATACTCACACATAGTTACGCGAGAACAGAAGAAGTAGAAAATTGGAACAATAAAAAATTCGGAGTTGGAATTTGCAAACGTACCTATTTTTTTTATGAAATGAACAAAATTCTTACAGCTTTAGTGTATATTAATAAATAATACTTTCTTGCCTTTAGCTGTGTATTTTTTTCTAATTTCGAAAAATCGAAAGTTGAGAAAAAAAAAAGTAAAAAGAAAATTGTTTTGCTTGTCGTAAAGGGGGGAACCAAGCTCCACTCCCACAACCCGTTTCTGGGCCTACCCTTCATCAGGTGGGCTGTCCAGGGGCTGGTTTTCACCGATACGGCAAGTAAAACTTCTTCTATATCAACAGACGATGTCGTAAAGTGTCGGTGAGATATTAGTGCATCTCCCGTCAAAAGATGGTAAAGAGCGTTTTTCGGCACGCTCAAACATATATGAAATGAACAAAATTCTTACAGCTTTAGTGTATATTAATAAATAATATTTTCTTGCCTTTAGCTGTGTATTTTTTTCTAATTTCGAAAAATCGAAAGTAGAGAAAAAAAAATAAAAAGTAAAAAGAAAATTGTTTTGCTTGTCGTAAAGGGGGGAACCAAGCTCCACTCCCACAACCGGTTTCTGGGCCTCCCCTTCATCAGGTGGGCTGTCCAGGGGCTGGTTCTTACCGATACGATATTTGAGCGGGCCGAAAAACTAAGTTTCAGCATTCTACACGAAAAATTACATGAATTAAATTTGTGCAGGCATTTTGTTAATTTAAATCCATCCTACGTGTTGAAATACGTAGTGACGTGACGTTTCAAACTACAGTTTTTCAAGCATGTCCTTCAAATCCTTCAATTTGAAACCTGTTAGTAAGAAATTTCACTTCAACTATGCGCACAAAGTGCACACACATTTTTTTTTAATATTGCGTACGATTAAAGTTAACGCTTACGCATAATCTAAACAGATTATTCTGTATATTTTAGCATAATTTTATTAAAATACCCTTCCAAGTTCAAACTAACCATTACCCATCATTTTCGACAGCTCGTTTATCATAATAAACCAGATAATTTAAAAGTGTAATATTGTATAACCTAATTATAAGTTAATTTATTGAGTTTAATATTGTTTTACACAACATTTCATTAACTCTAAGTGATTTTAATGATTTTACGTTAAAATTTAAAACTACTAAATATATTCGAAATTATTTATTGATTTATAAACTTCTTTAAGATGTGATGTTCGGGGAGAAAAAGAAGCAAAGACATTTTTATTTTCTTTTATAGCGACTTGATCGTAATTTCTCTCTTCTTTAAAAATGCGATATTGTTCAGACAATTTTAAACGTGCATTTCAGAGAACACCATTGTCCTTTGTTAGCGTTTGATACGCATGTCAACTTTGTAAGCTCTTCTAGCTGTCACTTTGATTTTTTTTACTCCAGTAGTCCCGGAAGTGTGCTGCTTTTAAATAATCTTTTCTTATTTCAACTCTGTAAAATTCCGTTCTAATGAAAAAAAGATTTTATATTCGATAAAAAAAACTTTTCGATATATTCAAGCCGGTTTACGGTTTTGTGGTCCATATACCGGGCTAGTACTCAGGCAGTGCCACAGGTGTCGTCATTGTTTCGATGTAGCTGCTATAAAGCTGTATAGAATGGGAAAGCCAGACTCGCGATATTTGATTGCTTCAGAAACGGCTCTCATGAGAACAATATAAACTTGAGATTTGTTAAAATACAAATATAGATGTACAATGTACATAATATACAGTATGTCCCCGTATTGTCTTTACAAGAGGAACAACTTTTTTATTATTGATATTTTGAGAAAAATGCTTTCTTCATAAAAATCTTTGCTTGTGCTAAAATGGTTAATCCCGTTTAAACTTTTCCAAATTTCCATACCGTTTTAGAGAAAATTTAATTTTTTTAGGAAAAAAAATTCAATCATATTATCATATTTTGTTAATTTTCTCTAAAACGGTATGGAAATTTGGAAAAGTATAAACGGGATTAACCAGATTAGAACAAGCAAAATTTTTTATAAAGAGTGGATTTTTTTCAAAATGTCAATAATAAAAAGGGTTTTCCTCTTGCAAAATCA